TTCACAAAATCATAACTATCTCCCCTTGAAAGAAGGCGTGGGTTCTTAAGAAGAAGATGAGCATGTGAAAAGTTTACGACGACATACAACGGACAAATTTCGATCAGAAAAGCTCACTTGAGCCTTCGGCTCAGGTGAGCTAAAACGCTTCCAGTATTCCACATACCTTATGAAGATACATTTTCAACGTAATGGACAGATAGGTGTTGCTAAACTTAAGATTCCTTCGTTCATGTTCAAAACATTATATTTCAAAAAACAGGTGTCAATTGTTTTGTTTATTACAAAAAAAACCTTCTTTTCAGTCACTGTCTTAAATAAATGCTGTTAAGGTATTGTTGCACCTTCATGTGTATATTATTAAAAAAAATCAATACACATATTTCTAGTTTTCATAATTCCTGCTAACTCTAATGATTGTGATTTTGGAAGAACATGATAAAAAGGTACTGTTGCACATACGTTTTAGAAAATATATTGAATATCGAAACAGGTTTAATTGTATTTTAAAAGGGTAAGCCGATGAAAGAGTTTTTTTTTTAATTCAGAAGGTTACATATTTACACTTCCTTAGCAAAACAGATGATATGCTAAACAAATGAAAATACCATGGTGTTAAAATTCGAACATATTATGTAATTTCTAGTTACTTAGGGAAAATCAAGAAGAATCTAACATGTGTACTCTGTAAATTATTATTGAAGTTGGTTAACAGCAGCCCTTGGCGTTTTTAATACCTTTAGGATTCATTAGCATTTATGACCGCAGAGTTTGGATATTAGATAAATATACGATCTCCCATGGTTTGTGGTTGAATATTATTATTAATTCACCAAGTTGTATTGTTATCCTCGAGCTTTGGGGAGGGGATAAAAACACATAACGAGTTGGATAAAAATCATATCTAACCACAAACCATGGGAGATTCTTTTTATCACATGTTTTACACATAGCTATCATATATTTTACACTTTTGTATATGTAAATCCACAATACTTGACTTGATCAAATTCACACAAAACCATTGTGACGACAAATCCGTGCGTATCAAAACCATGTCCTATGGGCTATGTCCACTGTATAAAGGAGTAAACGTGTGATAAAAGTCTTTAAGTGGTTAAGAAAGAAATATTGACGAGGCTATAAATGACACTGTTTTCCGGAAGTGGTAAAGCAGACTCGTCAAAAAGGAATAAATATGGTTTCTATTTTATTATTATTATAATAAGGTATAAACTATAAAGAGACAAGTACAGGGATACAGATGGTGCTGGTAGTTTAGCCCCTGAACTGATTCATACACTCAAGACATTGGTATTAAAAGAATTCTGACCGAACTATTAGCAAATTCAGTGATGAAATGAGATGAGTAAAATCAATTTTATGTATTTTTTAAAACATTTTTATAATACATGAAGTGGTAATAGATAAAATAATTAAATGAACATTTTGGGGGATTAAAATGTGTTAAGGACATACATTCTGCTCATGTGTCATTCCAAAGAATTGAACAGAAAGTGGCAGTATGTAATTTAGTAATTCAGTAATCCGTCAGCCAGGAATAAATTAAAAAATTGGAATTTAAAATGTTTAGAAGTTGTAATGTTATTTTAAAACAGAATGAAAGTTCTTGATTAAGTTTGTGAATTTGTTAAGGTGCAACACGGGTTTTTTATGAAGGAGAAAATGTGTTGATCAAAACGTTTTTTTAATGTATAGTTACTCATAAAAGTTATATAAGATGAAATCCCGCGCAAGCGCGGGGAATTGAATTTATACCACTACCGACAGAAAAATTCCAATAATATATATTGTAGTTTCTACTGACAGCCTACAGGCTTATAGCAGGAAGAAATACTTTGTTCAAAATCCCCCATTTAGTTTTGGAGCAGAAGAAGATGTACCCCCCCCCCCTTGTAAAAACTTGAAAAATAACAATTTCATTTATTGACGTTTATTGTGAAAACTGTTGTACTATGTTATGGATATTGCACTTCAGATGCTCTTATTTCAAGCATTAAGTATTAAAAGCAGCGAACATGCACATTTTACTGATAAATTGAATTTTCTTTTTTTTATATATTTTTTTTTAGCTCTTCCAAAATTGTGAATTAGCTTCTAAAGCCCTATGAATATACCGAGTTTTTGATACAAAAAAGACTATTCTGGAAAAAAATTGAAATTATTGATTAAAGCACAAAATTTTAACAGCTTTGATTGTATTTGAACAATACCTTATGCATTAATTTTCTCTTTTCATGTAAGCAAGTTTTTTACGAAGTACAGATTGTTCTTTGGGTTCGTTGCTACGATGCTCTCAGTGAGGAATATACCAATTTTATCGATAAATTTATAAGGAAAACCTACTAATAGTCTTTCGATATATAAATATATTCGCAAGTGGTATCAATGCTTTACCATTATTTCCATATGACCATTAACACAAAAGCTTTTTTTTATGTTCGTGCAGCTATATTCGCCTCTTTTTTCTTTTTAACATCGGGCTCCATGTTTTATGATGTTCTAGAAGTTTCCGTCAATATTGAGATCAGTGAATTACGAAAATAATTTGCACATTTCCCTTTTTAATAGGTTATCACAACTTATTTCTTTTATATCATTTAAATCATTTTTTGATTGAATAATTCAGTGATGACGTTTTATGAAATAAATAAACGATTGCTTCTTGTCAGTTTCATTAAAAATTGCCAGTAACTTAGATCCGCCAACCGGAACCACCACCGTACTCACGATTTTGCTATTTCATGGCTGTTTATAGAAAATGAAAGTTGACTTTTAATTTAATGTACGGTACTTACTATGTGAGTGAAATCTAAATATAGTTTACGGACATCATCTTGTATCTAGTTTATTCTTAGAGAAGTAAGTAAAAACTCTGGTGCACCCGTTTCGGAGTTTATTTGCAAATTTTATTAATTTATAAGTATAGATTTTACATTGATTTTAAGAGAGCTGGATTTATTTGATTCACAATTAAACAAGTGATGCGACCTTTTACTATGAAGTCCTTGTTTTTTAGTATTTCAAAATTATTTCTATCATCAAAGAGTTCAAGGACTGATATATTATGGTATTATGATATTTTATTATGAAAGAACAATGAATGGAAATCCAGGGTGAAAATATTTCTTGTTATACATTGTTTAATATATTTAATCAGTTTTTATTAAGATGTCATCATGTCAACGAATAGTTGACTATTCGACTACCAGTAGAATGGATCGACGATCGAATAATGAAACGACATTCGAATATTATAATGAAATAAATGCAATAAAAGAGTGATAACGAGTTGGAATTCTCATCTCAAAATTGAGAAACCGTCTTTCCTCAGAGAAGTTGATCAGATAAGTAAAGTATGAAGTATAAATTTATTTAAAGAAAATTTTCCAAATGTTCGCTTTTTGTTCGAATAATGCAATCGAATAATCGACTAAAGAAAATGAATATTTTAGGCAAACTTTAAAATAATGTTTGGGTGCCCTCTCCCGACTCAGAATGAGAAAATTGAGACGATAGGTAGGTGATAAATTTTTTTTCAAAGAAAATTTCAAATTTAGTACTAAATTTTCAAATCTATTTTCTGGAATGCGTAAAAAAATAATTGCTTCCTGGAGTTTAAAAAAAGGTTTGAGTCGGGCCATTTTTAGCCAGTCGGTCGGGAGAGGGCAATCAAACAATTTTTTAAAGATGGCCTTAACATCCCTATTTTTTTACACAAGATAAGCTCTAGTGAGTGTTAGTAAGAATGTTCTAATTATAAAATACTACATAAAAATCGACATTTAGGGGTTACAGTGTTTTTATAACCAAATAGAGGTAAAGCGACAGAGACCTTTCCAAAAAAAAAACCTTGCTATTGTTGCGCCTCCCACCTCGGGAGAGAGTGGGGCAACTTTGTGGGCTTTCCACTCCCGTACGTCAACTTTATTTAGAATAAATAATTAAGTCAGGATAAAAGTTCAACAAATAAAATTTATTTATACTATGTACAATTTGATATGACTATTGTAAAAATCACAATATCTGACACCATAAATATCTGTCACACCCACAACCCGTATGAATAATCTAAATCTCCCAAAATAATTATAAAAATTAGCTACTTGTACTAAAATATACTTTCCTTAATTTAGTATACTTTATTTATACCTAACCTATAAGTCCTATATAGTTTTATTAATAAATTGTAACTCCCATAAATTCTCCCATAAGTTTTCCCGTCGATGGGCCTCCCACAGGGATATCTCAGCGGCACTATTTAATATAACTTGACTTATATAATTACTCATCTGGTCTGCATTAGGTCTGCCATCCCTCTAAAATGCATATGATGGGAGAACTTCAAAAGTTAACGACTTGGAGGCCTCAGTTATCCTCCCAACTTCTCCCCCCCCCCTTCTCTCTATAGCAGACGAATTTTCGGCTCTTAATATACCTTTACTGTACCCACTGGTTACCTCAATTAACCAATCGCTGACCCGAAACAACCCTTCGCCACTTCCGGAATAAACAAATCAGGGAAAGTGCACGCAAGGAAGTTTTCTAATGGAGAATCATTAATAACCATACAAAATGGGATTTTATCTTCCAAAATGTGATAAGTACAAGTAGCTATTACTTTATTAAGTTGATAAAAACAATGACAATGAAGTGTTCAAAGATGAAACGTGATAAATGACATCAAACATGCTATCGAGATCGAGACCGGGTCGAAATACAGTGAACCCGACTCCAAAACAATAATATACGATTGACAGCATATAATCAATATCTTTTACAACTATTTACCGATTATTTAATCACAATCATAGCAAGTATTATATTGTTACTTTACATATTAATCTGATGAAAACAACGATTGAATAATGCAATATGTATACGCTGCGAGTGATCAACTGGTATAAATACACAACGTGAAGAAATGAATTTCATAATACTATCAACAGAGTTCAATAAGGTCTATGCTTTTTTCGCTTTTACAACATTTTCTCACAGACAAAGTACTCGTCCCATGAGCACCCAACATCAATCCACATTCCCGTGTGCTTCATTAGCACACAGCCACCCTTTCCATCAAGATTTTCTGTTACCCATGACTGTTTGGAGATTGGGTTGTTGCTATGGCCCCACATTAAGATCCCTTTCCTTCTTTTTGCTCCTAACCACAAACTGGTCACAGGCTGACTGATTCCATTACCTAATATCAATACAATAATTAAAAAACTGCGAGAAATATTAACTGGTGCATATTAAGCAAAGCTACATTTTCATCCATTTGTGGAATTACAATTTAAGTGAAAAAAACCGTAATTATAGAATGTGAAATTAAGTAATTAAATTAACTTGCATGATTATTGGGTCTAATGACGTTTGATAAACCTTACAGAAATAACAAAAAAAACCTGGAGAAGATAATCCCTATTATTTTGTCGTATCTCTATGAAAACTACACATTTAGCTTACCATTCGCCGTCAAAAAAGTTTCCAGTAGCCATTTGTTTTCCGCCGCTGTATTCACCTCTACTAAGTAGGATTTTTGTCTTTTACACTGGGTCTAAAACATAAAAATTATAAGTATTATGATTATTTAATCTTCACTTTGTAAAGTTTTTCTCTAAAGTGGTTCAATGTGTAACTTGTAGGCTGAAGCCTTTCCTATTCCTAGCTGTTTTACACGATTGACAGATTGTACCATTCTAGGTGTTTTTACAGAGTGAAGCCTTTCTTATCTGCTTTACACGAGTAAAGCCTTTCTTATCTGCTATACACGATTGATAGTCTGTACCTTAATGGATATTTGTTGAAGGATGAAGCCATACGCGATTGACAGTCTGTATATTTAAAACAGAAACTAAGTGTTTGGCAGCGTAAGCAGTGGGTTCAAAGATCTACTTGCAGTAGAAAAAATGTCACACTTTAAAGAACCAAATAAATCAATTTAAACTAAAAATAAACGAGGAACGATGAAAGACGTAGAAATGTTTAGGACACGTGTGTATACAAGTTAATGCACAAACACTTTTCATCTCGATGTAAAAGGGGTCCCAGTTATAATAGGTGTGTGAACAGATATTCGATAATTCGTAATTTTACCTGGGCATCTCTCCACTGTACTGCTGTTTTATTCAGATGATAACAATGGCCTGTAAAAGGATACCAGCCAGACTCACAAACTAAAACATAATGGAATTATAAACTAATTGATTGCAATATTACAAAGTAAAGCAAATATTTTCTTCTCGTGGACAATTAAGATTGAAAGCAAAAATGACTTATCTAAGAGACATACCTAAAAACTTCAACCATTTCCTATATTACAATTTTCATCACCATCGATGATTGTAACATTGCCAGGCATGCTATACAAAATTTTCAAGTAGGTCATACTTATTTCAATCTTTATAAGTTAAAAGTAAGACATCAATATTTTTATCAGTAAATAGTAGTAACAGGAAGTTTGCATTCTAGTGATCAAAGAGTCTTTCGTTCTAAACACAGCACAACAACAACAATAATAATAATAACTAGATGAGATCTCGTTGCGAGCAACGAGTAGGTCTTCTGTCCGATTTTCCGATAAGATGAGATAAGATTTTGACTATGATCTTTATTAAAAAATAATAATATATAGACTTCCCTCATTAGATTTCATTCTTTTGATTTATCTAACATTATCAAAGAGTTATAGATGAAAGACTTTTGGCCCTTCTGAGCCCCTAATTTGAGGGGTCAGCCCCTTTTTCTTGATATCAAATAAAAGGTCTTGTGATTTTGAAGATTTTTTGTTCAACAACTATTCAGAAATTTCCTTTCGTTTCAGAGATATATAGAATAACAATATTTAGGGGCCAGCCTTCGAAGTCCTTAATGGGGTTGTCTTGCAAAAATTAAAAGGGTGTATATTGTTTAGAACATTATTCTGAACATCTTTTGTTCAATATTGCTTATCAAAATATTTCCCCTTTTCGAGATATCAGGTGTCAAAGATTTTGCATTCTGGCCCCTTATGGCCCCTTATTACGTAACATATGATCCAAATTTTATAATACATAGTTGCAGAATGTTAAGATGAACATTTTTGCTTCAGTAATTTATAACAAAATATTGATCATTAAAAAGTTATAGATGAAAGACTTTTGGCCCTTCTGAGCCCCTAATTTGAGGGGTCAGCCCCTTTTTCTTGATATCAAATAAAAGGTCTTGTGATTTTGAAGATTTTTTGTTCAACAACTATTCAAAAATTTCCTTTCGTTTAAGAGATATTTAGAATAACAATATTTAGGGGCCAGCCCTCCAAGTCCTTAATGGGGATGTCCTGCGAAAATTAAAAGGGTGTTTTTTTGTTTAGAACATTATTCTGAACATCTTTTGTTCAATATTGCTTATCAAAATATTTCCCCTTTTCGAGATATCAAGTGTCAAAGATTTTGCATTCTGGCCCCTTATGGCCCCTTATTACGTAACATATGATCCAAATTTTATAATACATAGTTGCAGAATGTTAAGATGAACATTTTTGCTTCAGTAATTTATAACAAAATATTGATCATTAAAAAGTTATAGATGAAAGACTTTTGGCCCTTCTGAGCCCCTAATTTGAGGGGTCAGCCCCTTTTTCTTGATATCAAATAAAAGGTCTTGTGATTTTGAAGATTTTTTGTTCAACAACTATTCAAAAATTTCCTTTCGTTTAAGAGATATTAAGAATAACAATATTTAGGGGCCAGCCCTCCAAGTCCTTAATGGGGATGTCTTGCAAAAATTAAAAGGGTGTATGTTGTTGAGAAGATTATTCTGAACATCTTTTGTTCAATATTGCTTTTCAAAATATTTCCCCTTTTCGAGATATCAAGCGTCAAAGATTTAGCATTCTGGCCCCTTTTGGCCCCTTATTACGCAATATATGATCCTCATTTTATAATATATAGTTACAAATCCTTAAGATGAACATTTCTGCTTCAGTAATTGATAACAAAATTTTGATCGTTGAAAAGTTATATATGAAAGACTTTTGGCCCCTCTGAGCCCCTAATTTGAGGGATCAGCCCCTTTTTCTTGATAGCAAATGAAACGTCTTGTCATTTTGTGCATCTTTTGTAATATATGTTTTAACAAAATATTTACAGGTAAAAAGATACAAAAGAAAACGTGTCAAATTTTGCGAGATGCTTGTGAGCCTATTTTTCAAGCTCAGGCGAGCTTCAGCGCCTTTTGAGCTGGAAACATATAGATGCGAAATGGCACATCTACAATCTTTCCTCTATCTTCACTGAAAATCTTATCCCTTTATCTCTATTCATTTAGGAGAACACCCCAGGACAAGCCGACCCTCTGAAAATCAGAAAATCGTCCATATCTCACGACCGGAAGTGACGTCATCAAAAAACAAAAAAACCTATCAAGATCAGTTGATTATCTTTCACATCTGAAAGTTTGATGTAAATCGGCCAAGCCGTTTCTGAGAAATCGCGTGCACAAAATCGGTTGGAAGAAAAATAATAATAATAATAATAATAATAACTAGATGAGATCTCGTTGCGAGCAACGAGTAGGTCTTCCGTCCAATTTTTCGATGAGATATTATTTTGACTATGATCTTTGTCAAAAGATAATAATATATAGACTTCCCTAATTAGATTTTCTATTCTTTTGATTTATATAACATTATCAAAGAGCTATAGATGACATGCTTTTGGCCCCTCTGAGCCCCTAGTTTGAGGGGTCAGCCCCTTTTTCTTGATATCAATTGAAAGGTCTTGTGATTTGAAAACGTTTTGTTCAACAATTATTCAGAGATTTCCTTTCGTTGTGGAGATATGCTGAATGGAAATATTTAGGGGCCATCCCTCAAAGTCCTTAATGGGGCCGTTTGACAAAAATTGAAAGGGTACATATTGTTTAGAACATAATTCTGACTATCTTTTGTTCAGTATTGCTTATCAAAATATTCCCCCTTTACGAGATATAAAGCGTCAAAGATTTAGCATTCTGGCCCCTTGTGACCCCTTATTACGTAACGTATGATCAGTATCTTATCATATATTGTTGTAAATCGTTAAGATAAGCGTCTTTGCTTCAGGAATGTATTACAAATTATTGATCGTTAAAGAGTTAAAGAAGAAATAGTTTTGGCCCCTCTGAGCCCTTAATTTGAGGGATCAGCCTCTTTTTCTTGATACCAAATGAAAGGTCTTGCGATATTGAAGACTTTTTGTTCAACAACTTTTCATAAGTCTATTTTCGTTTTCGAAATGGTGAATTGAAATATTTAGGGGCCAGCCCTCCAAGTCCTTAATGGGGTCGTTTTGCAAAAATTGAAAGGTTGCATATTGTTTAGAACATTATTCTGAACATCTTTTGTTCAATATTGCTTTTCAAAATATTCCCCCTTTTGGAGATATAAAGCGTCAAAGATTTAGCATTCTGGCCCCTTTTGGCCCCGTATTACGTAACATATGATCAAAATTTTAAAACATATAGTTGCAAATCGTTGAAATGAACATTTTTGCTTCAGTAATTTATAACAAAATATTGATCGTTCAAAAGTTATACATTTAAGACTTTTGGCCCCCCTGAGCCCCTAATTTGAGGGATCAGCCCTTTTTTCTTGATACCAAATGAAAGGTCTTGTGATTTTGAAGACTTTTTGTTCAACAACTATTCAGAAGTTTATTTTCTTTTTCGAGATATGGTGAATTGAAATATTTAGGGGCCAGCCCTTCAAGTCCTTAATGGGGCCGTTTTGCAAAATTTGAAAGGTTGCATATTGTTTAGAACATTATTCTGAACATCTTTTGTTCAATATTGCTTTTCAAAATATTCCCCCTTTTGGAGATATAAAGCGTCAAAGATTTAGCATTCTGGCCCCTTTTGGCCCCGTATTACGTAACATATGATCAAAATTTTAAAACATATAGTTGCAAATCGTTGAAATGAAAATTTTTGCTACAGTAATTTATAACAAAATATTGATCGTTCAAGAGTTATACATAACAGACTTTTGGCCCCTCTGAGCCCCTAATTTGAGGTATCAGCCATTTTTTCTTGATATCAAATGAAAGGTCTTATCATTTTACACATCTTTTGTAATACATGTTTTAACAAAATATTTACAGGTAAAAAGATATAAAAGAAAACGTGTCAAATTTTGCGAGATGTTTGTGAGCCTATTTTTCGAGCCCAGGCGAGCTTCAACGCCATTGGAGCTGGAAAGATATAGATGCCCAATTGCACATCTACAATCTTTCCTCTATCTTCACTGAAAATCTTAACTCAATAGCTTTAGTCGTTTAGGAGGAGTTTCCAGGACAAGCCGACCCTCTGAAAATCAGAAAATCGTCAATATCTCACGACCGGAAGTGACGTCATCAAAAAACAAAAAAACCTATCAAGATCTATTGAATATCTTTTACATCTGAAAGTTTGGTGTAAATCGGCCCAACCGTTTCTGAGAAATCGCGTGCACAAAATCGGTTGGAAGAAAAATAATAATAATTACCCCTCCAAGTCCTTAATGGGGCCGTTTGACAAAAATTAAAAGGGTGCATATTGTTTAGAACATTATTCTGACCATCCTTTGTTCAGCATTGCTTATCAAAATATTCTCCCTTTTCGAGATATAAAGCATCAAAGATGTAGTATTCCGGCCTCTTGTGACCCCTTATTACGTAACATATGATCAGAATCTTATCAGATATTGTTGTAAATCGTTATGATAAGCATCTTTGCTTCAGTAATGTATTACAAATTATTGATCGTTAAAGAGTTATAGGTTGAAGACTTTTGGCCCCTCTGAGCCCCTAATTTAAGGGGTCAGCCCCTTTTTCTTGATATCAAATGAAAGATCTTGTGATTTTGAAGACTTTTTGTTCAACAACTATTCAGAGATTTCTTTTCGTTATGGAGATATGCTGAATGGAAATATTTAGGGGCCACCCCTCCAAGTCCTTAATGGGGCCGTTTGACAAAAATTGAAAGGGTGCATATTGTTAAGAACATTATTCTGACCATCTTTTGTTCAATATTGCTTATCAAAATATTCCCCCTTTTCGAGATATAAAGCGTCAAAGATTTACCATCCTGGCCCCTTGTGACCCCTTATTACGTAACATATGTTCAGAATCTTATCATATATTGTTGTAAATCGTTATGATAAGCATCTTTGCTTCAGTAATGTATTACAAATTATTGATCGTTAAAGAGTTATAGGTTGAAGACTTTTGGCCCCTCTGAGCCCCTAATTTAAGGGGTCAGCCCCTTCTTCTTGATATCAAATGAAAGATCTTGTGATTTTGAAGACTTTTTGTTCAACAACTATTCAGAGATTTCTTTTCGCTATGGAGATATGCTGAATGGAAA